AATTGTAAGATTTTTATATTCTTCCTGAGGTGAAAACTATTCTTTGGTCACTAAAAATATGAAGGCATAAAAACATACCAGAAAAGTTGTCTCTGGCTGTGTCTTAATGTGCACCTCTTGGATGAGCAATTTATACTACTCTTTAAGTTTTTTTGTTTTTGTATTAGTCACTTCTCTACTGCTGGGACAAATTACCTGACACATGCAGTTTAAAGGATGGGGTGGGCAGTTATTTTGGCTCACCATTTCCGAGGGTTCAGTGCATGGTTAGCTGGCTCCAGGGCAGAAGTGGCCATGACAGGGGAAAGCCTCCCACCCCAATACAGCAAGGAAGGAGAAGGGAGGGGTGAACAGGAACAAGAACACACTCTTCCGGGTCACACTCCAAGCAACCTTCTCCCTCTGGGGCCCATCCATGAACATGAAACTATCGGGGGATATTTTAGATCTAAAGCATAACAACTTTCTTAAGTGAAAGGGAAAAGAGCCTTAGAGAAAAAGTCTTCCATGTATGATGTCGTCTGTTTTGGTATCCATTTTTACTTTAGTTTTTTTCCATAACTGTTGTGTTTTAACCTATTGACTCAGAATGTGAAATTTAGATCATTTTTATGGCATCATCAAAAGTAATTCTGTCTTGCTGAGCCTAAGTTCTCTCTGTGAGTGCTTATGTTTGAGTGAGAAGACCTACAGTCGTCTTAGCCTAGAACCAAGTATCTGAGTTAGGGTGGAGACTGGTTCTATATCAAGCTTCCGAACTTACAGCACAAAGCTAGAGAAATGAAATGACCTTGGAGGTCATCCTGCCATATATAGAGAGCATTATTAATACAAAGGGTGAAAAAATGGGCTGTAACTTTTTCTTCTAAACAGAGAGGAGCACTCACGTTACACATTATCATATCTCATCTTAGGTATGGAGAAAGAGAACTGACACTGTCTCCCATCAGGTAGGCTGTACCTGAAGGAAAGGGACCAAGGTGCTCAGCCCTGAGCTTCCACATTTTGGGGAAGTTGCTCTGCCAGGTTCTCTTTAGAACTTAAGATACCAGAGTTTAGGTGAATTCACTGTGTCTGATTCTGCTGAGAATCCTCTCACCCTCCCTCACAAGGCGGGTTGTCATTAAGGTTTTGTTTATTTGCTTTTACCCCGCTTGTACTCCTGGGCATTGCACTCTAATTCTAGGCTTATGCACCTGAATTCAATGTCTTCCTCACTGAAGGGTCTTAGTATGTTTTTGTGGCTAAAAAACCTGAAGTCTGATGACCGACATTCAAGTCCAGAGCCAGATGTATCACTTTATACGGACCTCTCAGTGGCATATTCTCTCCACCTAACAGTATTAATATTGATAGCTGCTTTAGTTTTTCCTTGAATATGAAAGGGAAATGAAGACATGAAAATATTTTATAAAGTTCTACTGAGACATGTGGTGGTGTTGTTCTTATGCTATCATTTAAAAAGTAGTAATGACAGTGATCACATTCTCCTGGACCACCACTTTCTTTCTGATAGGTTAAAACCTATCAGAGAGGCAAACAGTAAATGAATACAAATGAGGTCAGACAGCTAGAAAGCCATAGCTGGCCATCAATAGACCTGCAGGCTCTCCTCCACCCCACAGCTCCTCTGGATCCAGCACTTGGGAGCCTGGAGGGACATCCTGCTGATGCGTGAACGGGATGGCTGGGTGCCTATGGTGGCATTTACTTCCGAGCCACCATGTCACCTGCCCTGCAGCAAGCCAGCACGCTGGATGATCCTCTACAACAAACCAAGGGACACTTTTTATTTAATTATGAGATTTAAAGATCATTAGAAGAAATATCGCCAACCCTAGAAACCTATTATTTCATAGGTTTTCTTCAGGTGAGGCTAACAAGTGGCTGTGTGCATGTTTTTGAAAGTTGGGTGGATTAACAAAAATTATTAAGTGAGGATGGAGCGGGTGATACTTAGACATGGCCGCAGTCACGTAGGAGTCTCTTGAGGGCCAGCCTCAGAGTAACACTGTGGGAGCTGGTGCAGGGAAGCACCTCTGGGTGCTGCTAGCCCTAGGTCAGGGGCCAGGGAGGATGCAGCCAGGCAACTGGGGTGTGACTGCTCACTGTCCGGATGAGACTACGATGGGGTTCACTGGGCTGAGGACCCTGTATTCCTTTCAGCAGTGCTCCTTTCTGAAGAGTTCAAGCACCAAATACCTTTTATTTCTTGATTTACCATTTAGAAGAACTGTGGGACTGGAAAATTCAGTCCTTTTCTCATACTAACCTTTAACCAACTGTTTGTCAGATCTGAGCAAGTTACCCAGGAAGTTTTATTCCCCCAAACAATTTCTTTTATAAGACGTAATTGCGGAGTCGGGTTCAATGCCTTGTGGAACCAGCTTTTTAAAGATTTTGTTTAGATTTTTTCTGTTTGCTTTCATTTCTCCAGTAACTTTTCAAATTATGTAAGCAATACAACTAAGGTCCCAAGCATTTAGGATACAGATGGGGAGATGCTGTGTGTGTTGCCTCATCGTGTGGGCAGATGCCTTTGAACTCCCTCCGGGCCACTCCAGTTTCCTCCAGGTTCTGCTGAAACATACACGTTCTCTCCTTCACTTCCCTCTCCCTGACTCTTTTCTCAGCCTGCCTGCACTCTGTCCCAGCATTCCCCTCTGATTCTGTGCTCCTTTCCCTGAGACCAGCCCCAGAGCCGTGTCACAATGCGGCCTGGGGGAGGTTTCCTTGCCGGTGACACTTGTTAGCATGTTGGTGGGAGTCCTCGCTCTGTGTGAAAACCCTTCGAGAGTTTGACAGATTGAAGGTGGGTGGTAACTTGCGCTTTTGTAAACAATGATCTGTTCTCAGAGGATGTGGGAGTTGTCTGTCTACAAGCTAATATAATCAATTTGATTTGAAAACATCACTAGGACTTATTGTCATCCTACGGATAGTGGCCACATTTGACTACGCTCTGTTGGAATGGAAATATTGTAAAACAACTTCCTATGGCTGCCGAGCCTGCCTCCTTCCTCATTTCTTTCATTTAAAATCCTGTGCGTAAAATAAAGTCAAGAGATAAGGAGCAGATTATGGGGGAAACCTTTGCAATAATATGACAGAAATCAAATTTATTTAAGGTCCGTGGAGCTCTTCAGATGACTATAAAGATGAAAAGCCCAAAAGAAAAGTGGCCAAAGACATGGCCTTGAGAAAAAAATTGAAATCAGCCAGCAAACATGAAAAGTGCTCATGTTCGTAGACAAGAATCATAACAGGTTGCCGCCTTCTCTCCACCAGCTGAGCTGAAATCAAGATGTCTGAAAAACCCTAGTGTTAAAGAGTAGAAAATTCAGCATGTTATTAGAATTAAGAATTGTGCAACTTTCTGAATGGTGATTTTGCAAATATTTGTGGAAGTGTGAAATGCACATACACTTTGATCAGGAAAATACACAGACATGCAAGGATGTATAACATAATAGTCTTTATAGTGTTATTTATAGATAGCTCCACAGAAAGCAGCCTCACTGACCCTCAGGGAGTTCACTGTAATATCATGACTTACTGAGCCAGTAGGGTAGCATGCAGGCATGAAAAAGGTGTGCCCATTCATATGGAAAAAGTTAGAGAATAAAACGTGAAAGATGGTGAATAACACGAGCTCCTTTATATTTTCCCAAGGAAGAGGGATAAAAGGATGAGACATATCCTTGTATGTGAATAAATAAAAGTTCTTTGCAAAGATGCACCAGCAGCAGTCAGTACTTAATTCTGGCAGGAAGACTAGAGAGCAGAGGTCTAGAGAGGAGAGAGAAAGACACAGGACTTGAATGACTTAAAACGGTGTAATTCTGAATTCAGTTACCACAAGTCCAGGTGATAAATAGTAGTGATTATGCTCTGCTCAGAAAGGACGATTACTTGGTCTAGTTGGTGTCTCTTCTGTTTTGCTCTCCAACCCACACGCTTTCCTTGGGGGCTACTTGTTGGTTTTCTTTTTTTTTTTTTTTTGGTGGTGGTGGTCCTGGGGATCAAACCCAGGGCTCCCTGCATACTAGGGCAAGCCCTGCACACTGAGCTACATCCCCACCCCTTCGGGGGCTGCTTTGAGAGAGCAGACAACTCGAGGGAAGTCCCCAAAGGAAAAGCAGAGACTTTGCCCAGTTCTGGAAAGGAAAGACCGTGTGCTAAAAACTGAGTCAACTGGCTCAATTAACCTTTTAAAACTAACTCAGACAAAAGCAATGAAGTTTGTGTTGGACGTCCGGGCCAACTACCCCAGCTGCCTATTGCACCCATAAGAGAAGAGAAGTTACTCATTTTCTCTCAAGCTCTCTGCCTTGTAGCCAGGGGATAGGACGTGCTCACCTCCCAGCACACTCTGGTGACCTTCTCTAAAGTGGGTTTTGCCTCTGCTAAGCAGCACCAGGTCTGGCTGGGCTGCACGGGTCTCCAGGGAGTGCGTTTGCATAGCTGGTTTGAGTTAGGGAGTGCATCGTAGTTTTCCTCTGCTTTTCTCCCAGTTGACCAGCATTTTAAATTTGTCCAATAGCATTTCATTTACTGCTTTTTAATACTTAGAAAGTTATTTAAAAGTTTGAGATACTTCGGTTTTTATGTCAGATAACTGTCCTCGTCTGTCATTTTAACACAGAGCATACACTTTAGTGTTTAATCCCCTCCCCCGACTTCTAGTATCACAGACTTGTCACGTATCGGGCCCTTGAGGTCCTCTCCTCAGACTCTGGGGGTCTGGGATGCCCATCCACAGGTGCTGCAAGGCCAGGTGACGGCTTTCCTACCGGCTTCTCCCAGTTCTGGAAAGGAAAGACCATGTATGGTTGATTGGGGTGGTTTTTTTTTAAATTTCATGGTTGATTAGGGTATGGTTGATTAGGGTGGTTTTTTTTAAAATTTCATTTCTGTTTTTGTTGCCACGGAAGTTCTCCCTCTGCATTTCTCTCCCTTCTAGTCTAAGCTTCCTGGGAGTGACTGGCCTTTTCTTTCAGATGGGGACTACTTCACCTTCACAAGACACGAGCCCATCGGGGTGTGCGGACAGATCATCCCGGTGAGTGAGCCCCTCAAGCCTCGGGTGTGTTTTCCTTCCACTCAGTTCTGCTGTAGACACGAGAAGCAGGGTCCTGGGTGATGTGTGTTTTCCATTACTGGGGAGAAAAAAACGGAGCTCGTGTTGTTGACATATCTTCACCAGCCGCCCAATAAGTGCTTATTTGAACAGGTTGACAAGGTTGCAGCTCCGTTACTAGGAGTTGAGCTCTCGAGTTGTGGAATCTCCTGACTCCAATAAGCAAAGCAGAGCACAGCGTATTAATAACCTGCCCTTGATTATGGATGTGTCTCCTGCTCGAAGAAAGTCGATGCTTTGTTATATTTGCTTGTTTATTTTTTAGACCTGTGACTCACCATCTTTCCAGGCGTATTGTTTTATATGGTCCTTCAATCTTCCTCTTTCCCACCGTTTCTTTTCACAAGATTCTCCTTGGAAGACGCTACAAAAGACGCAGCAGTACAATTAACGTCACGGTCGTAATTGAAACCATGCCGGGCTGTTGTGCGCCTTGTAAAGGGAAATAGATGTCCTTCTCAGTGTTTGGGTTGGAACGTTAGACATTGTCCTTTGCTCGCTCCCTCGTACACACCCTCGGCGCAATATAAAACGTCAGGGCATCTGCTAACGGTATGAGCTAATAGTTCCTTCCGGTGGAGATGTCAAGGAAAGGCTCAAATTACACTTACAGTAGAGACAAGATTTCTCTTGTCAAAATGCAGCAGATAGCTGAAGACAGTCTTTGGCTTGGGAGCTAAAGACCTGAGGGAGTTATTAATAGTTATTCAAACGATCAATAAGCCCCAGGCAACTATGACATTTATTAGAGATTGGAAAGGGAGATGAGAAGGTTGGTTGTTGGAGTCCTCCTGCTCCTAACCCCAGGGGACCCGCTTGGAGCTGCGCAGGGTAAGATCTGTCACCTCAGTGGGGACCCAGACCTGCTCCTCCTGCCCTTCCCCAGGCTCAGAGCTGAAGCTTCTCGGACAGGATGAAGGTCACCTGTCAGCTAGCTCTGGTTCAATTACCGCACTCCAAGATTTATACACTGCAGATGGAATTAAAACATCACCAAGGACTCTCAAGTTTATAAACAACCAAAGGGAAAAGAAATTGGGTGTTTGGTGAAGGCAAGACACTTGTATATTTTTGCAGGCTTGCCAGAGCTAGTGGGAACCCTTTGGGGCTGGCAGCTGAGATGCGTCAGGCAGAACTCTGCCCTCGGGGACGAGGATTACTGCCTTCCTCCTTATGAAACTATCAGTGACACCTGATAGCAGTGAGGCTCGTGCCTGAGTTTATGACACTGCAAGCTTGAGAGCCTGGTCCAGTCAGTTTAAACCTCTGTAGGCCCTAAAGTCATATGCTCGTAAATATATTTCAGGTTCACTACATCATTTTGCAGTAGGGAGGAGACAGATTAACAATTCTGCGTGCTTGTCCGTAGATAACTGTTTTTTGGAATAATGTAGGTTTTGTGACCCTTTGGGAAGAAAAGGGCACACATTGGAATAACATAATGTACAGTTACAATCTTCTTTTCACTTCTTCCAGTCAAATGGCTTTCACACCAAAGAGGAAAAACCCTGCTGTAAAAAGCCCAAATTTGAGAGAAAGTTTCACACACAAAAACTTAATGGAACCTAACTTTAAAACTAACAGGACAGAAGAATAATGAAAAACCAAGACAGTACAAAGGAAAAGTGAAAGTGCCCTTTTCATCATGAGATTTCTTGGGGGGATTGTTAGAATAAAGTAATTTGTTGTACACAAAAGAAAGGTGGGTTTGTTTTTCAAAGTCATTGCCATTGCATTTTTCTCTTTTTTTTTGGTACCGGAAATCAAACTCGGGACTTTGCACTTGCCAGGCAGGCGCTTGTACCACTGAGCTATATCCCTGGCACTGCCATTGCATTTTTAATGAAGTAATTAGAAACCTAATCATCTACCTTGTGGTGGGCAAGGTTTACGTGGAGGATGAGTCTGAGAAATCTCACAGATGAGTTTAAAGACAGAGCAGTACAGGGGTGCTTTCCCACGTGCGGACCCCGCGTCTTCTTCCTCAGTGGAACTTCCCCCTGCTGATGTTCGCCTGGAAGATCGCTCCAGCTCTGTGCTGCGGCAACACGGTGGTGATCAAGCCAGCGGAGCAGACGCCGCTCAGCGCCCTGTACATGGGAGCCCTGATCAAGGAGGTAGGACGGGTGACCCCAGGGCTCGACGCTTCCCCGCGAGCCCTGCGTGCGTCCCTTCTGACGGGGTGTGTCGGTGCTCGCAAAGCACAGTTCCTCCCATTCTGCATTTCGTTCTTTTAGGCTGGCTTTCCACCTGGAGTGATCAATATCCTGCCAGGATATGGGCCGACAGCTGGCGCAGCGATTGCTTCTCACGTTGGCATAGACAAGATTGCATTCACAGGCTCCACGGAGGTAGGCACCAGAGGAACCGGGGGCTGAATGGTCCTGCCAAGGAGAAGGCAGAAAATCTCCCCCGCTGCTAGACGCCAGCAGGGCAGGGAGGCCCGGCTTCCTTCGGACCATCAGGGGTCTCATGGGTGGAAGAGGAGAATTCGAAAGCTAAGAGCACCCTGACCTCTGGATGCCAGCACATCCCTGGGCATTTCTGTGGTGCCATCTGTGTAGAAACTGTCCTGGGAGCTGGGGTTCTAGGCGCTTTTTGAGTGAAGAATATATAGCAAAAGCAGGTTAAGTAGTTTGACGTTCACACCAGACTCTGGCAGGGAGCAGAATGGAGACACAGTCTCCCCTTTCCATCGCTTTCCCAGGGCCTGTAGGCTCAGGTGGCGGCTGACTCTGCCCAGGAGCCTAAGGGATGACAGAGCAGCCAGCGAGCTCTCGGCCAATGGCCTGACAGCAAATGTTGCAGACTTTATAGACACTGTGGTCTCTGCTGCTGCCGACCAGCTGTGCCCTGCTGGCCCTGAGCAGTCCTCGGCAATGCACAAACTGAACACGGCTGTGTGCCAATAAAACTTTATTTATAGACACTGACATTGAATTTGAGGTAATGTTTACACGTCAAAAATATTAATCTTTTAATTTTTTCTCAGCTATTTGAAAATGTGAAAATTGCTTTGAGCTGATAGGTGGTACCAAGGTGGGCGTCAGTTTGTGAGTGCCTGACACAGAGTCACAAGTCCACTTAGGGGAAGCTGTAAGCCAGTGCTCCAGGATGCCTCTGATTCAGGCGGCGATGATGAAAGAGTTTGACCTGTCGTTTTCAGTGGAGCCTCGTATAACAGCACTGTTGAGTGTCGGGTCTACAGGTCTAAGGTGTACAGGTCCACACAGTGCCGCCCATCAGGAGGAGAGGGAGAGCAACATTTGCCCTTCACATAAGCAGTAGCCACATTGTTAATAAAAGCAGTGAGCGAGGTTAATTTTAATAACATGCTTAATTTAATCCAGTATTTCAAAAATCTAATCTAAAGATACTATTTTTTATTTTCATTTTAAAAAAATTTAAACAATAAAAACAATGACACAAACTTTCAAAACAAGATAGTAGGAGTGTAACAATGGTTAATACGTTGCATATTGTTATCTTTAAAGTAGTTGCTCAGATTAGAAGATACAGGCACGAAAAATTGATCATATAGTATAAGCACAAACATTTGTTTGCAATGAATGAAGAGAAATTAGTAGTACAACTATCTTAACTATCTTGTATATATATATTTTTCTTCTTTTTCCTTCCTTCTTTTCTCCTTTCCCCCTCCCAGCTGTTCTTTCCTTTTTAAAAAAAATTTCTTTTTTTATTTTAAAGAGAATAGAAAAACATTAAAAACAATATAGAATTTCAAAACAAGATGATAGGAAATCAACAGTGATTGTTATATGCATGTGTATCTTCAAAGTAGTTATTCGGATTGCCAGATATAAGCATGTAAAATTGGTCAAAAAATTGAGCTTTAACTGTTCCTTTCAATAAACCAATAGAAATTAGTAGTACGTTATTTTAGCTATCTTGTGTATATACATATTTTTTCTCCTCCTTTCTTTTTTCCTTTTCCCCTAGCAGTTTCTTTCCCTTTCACCGTATCTATTGTACCTCTTGGATTTTATTTACTCTTTCAATTTCTTACACTAGGGAGACAGTACAATATTTATACATGTGGGTCTGATTTGTTTCACTTGTGAGTATGGTCTCTAGTTGCATCCATTTACCTAAGCCTCAAGTTTATCTTTCTTTATAGCTGAGTAATACTCCATTGTATAGAAACACTACATCATTTTTATCGATATCTCTGTTGATGGGCATTTGGTTTGTTTCCAAGATTTAGCTATGACAAATGGTGGTGCTATAAGCATGGGTGCACATATATCGTTGTGGTTTGATGTTTTCAGTTCTTCTGGAAAAATATCCAGAAAGGGAATAGCTGAGTTGGATGGGACCTTCAAGCCTAGTTTTTTGAGGAATCTCCAAACTGATTTCCACAGTGGTTGCACCAGTCTACACTCCCACCAGCAGTGGAGAAGAGTTCCTTTTTCCCCACAGCCCCTCCAGCATTTCTTATTCATTGATTTCCTGATGGTAGCCATTCTCTCTGGGGTGAGATGGAATCTCAGTGTTGTTTTAATTTGCATCTCTCCAATGACCAGTGATGTTGAACATTTTTTTCATATATTTATTTGCTCTTTGTATTTCTTCATCTGAGAACTGTGTGTTCATCTCAGATGCCCATTTTTTTATTGGGTCTTTGAATTTTAGGGCCTGATTTTTGTCATTCTTTATATTGTCAACATAGAAATTTTTAACACTGTATTTTGCATTCTCTTGTTCATAGGAAGACTCTGGAGTCTGGTGTGTGTTATGCTTACATCCCTGTCTCTACTGTCCCATAGCCACAGGTAGCCAGTGGCTGCCACACTGGACAGTGCGGGTCTAGAAACTTATAATGTCCATTGATATAGAGTTAATGATACCAGGTTAAACTCACTCATGTTAATTTCATTAAAAAGCTCATAAAACATTGATTGATAGACTTGAATGTCAATTTAGAGTTGGAAGTAATTGAGCTTTACATTTGTTGAAAGTTAATCTTGTTTCCACAACTTTCATCCTAGTAGTTGTCACAGTAATGGTACATTTTAATTATATCAACCAGAGTGTGAGTAGGACAGGAATTCCCTTCATGAACTAAGGTCAGCACTCCAAACATATTTGCTAAAGGCTGGAACGTGAAAGAACTGCATCCTACTAGGAGAGGATGTAAAAGATTGGGGGAAAATACAGATCTAAGCAGAGTGCTGCCTGTACTGCTTTGCACAAATTTTTATTCCCCACTCCACGTGAAGAAACTGAATCAAGAAATCTGAAGCTGTATTTTAGAAGTGGGATTTCTTTTTTTTTTTCTGAAAAGGACAGGGGGACCCATAATTAAAGTCTTTGATTCTATATCAAAAGCCTGGAGAAAGAATATACAAATTCATTCTCATTTATATTTTTCAAATTTAAATGAAATATTTAGGGTGTCTTCTTCTCTTAACCTCCCTTTTTTTCTGCTGTCTTCTCAGTGGTCTTGATTGAGTCATGTAAAAGGCTTCTATTCTTTCTTAATTAAAAATAGTTCACTAAAGCTGACAGTGGGTCCCATAAAATGAGATGTGATACTTGGTCGTGTCAGTGCTCTAGAGCCCCCACATTCTTCTCAATAGCTACGTAGAATAGTCTTGTATCAG